ATTCTTTACTTTTAAATTTTCTATTTGAAAATAAAAAATAGTGAAAGAAAAGAGATGACTGCAATTTGACATTTGCACATCACTTATTCGGGAATAAAACCATAAAAATTCAAAAGGAACTAAAAATGTTTAGGATCGTTTTAATGTTTAAAATAACCAAATAGATCGTTCTGTCTAGATTTTTACTAACATATACCAAACGATTCCCTATAAAATACATTATAATTTGATCATTATGATATCAAATAATTATATAATATATATTTGAAATGATAAAAATTGGATTAATTGGGTTGGTCGAGGTTGAACCATTGAATAACTTTAAAATACATTATATTTTAGCCACTAAGATATAAAATAATAGCATAATATATATTATGCCAGAGAAAATAGCTTGTTTTAGAATGAAAAACCAATGATGTTCATTTGTTTTACTTGATGGGCAAATCCCGTGTAGGTCAGGCCCATTCAACTCTTTTATTTTATGGTTAGCGGTTAGCCTATTAGATACCATGCATTAGTTTATTGTTAAATTTTTTATTTTTAGCAATAAAAAGGAGTATTGTTTTTGCCTTTTCATATATATTTTATCACCATGGAGAAATAAAAGGCTTAAAGAAAAAAATTGACACTCCTGGACCCGTTTAAATCCGCATGTGTACGGTAAGTTGGTCGTTCCACAGAGGAAAGAGAAAAAAATTGACACTCCCTATTCTACCCTTCCTACAAACGCTCCTGGAGCAGGGAATTTGAACTTGATCAAAACGGGTCAAAACTTGAAATTCAGCCTGTTTGACCGACCCATACCAAATTCTAATTATTCTTTACTTTTAAAATTTCTATTTGAAAATAAAAAATAGTGAAAGAAAAGAGATGACTGCAATTCGCCATTTGCACATCACTTATTCGGGAATAAAACCATAAAAATTCAAAAGGAACTGAAAATGTTTAGGGTCGTTTTAATGTTTAAAATAACCAAATAGATCGTTCTGTTTAGATTTTTACTAACATATACCAAACGATTCCCTATAAAATACACTACAATTTGATCATTATGATATCAAATAAGTATATAATATATATTTGAAATGATAAAAATTGGATTAATTGGGTTGGTCGAGATTGAACCATTGAATAACTTAAAAATACATTATATTTTAGCCACTAAGATATAAAATAATGGGTCGGACTGGTGTACGTCAGGCGTATACTATACGTCAGGTACTACTAGTGAGATATCTCTATCTAGACCATGAATTAAATCGAGTTTGGGGTATGATACTATACCCTAACCTCTAATGGATAAACCCCAGGCACCGATTTTCTAAACCCCAACCCGAAGTATGATTTAATGAAAAACAAAAATTGACCATTGAGATCGGTCGGAGCTCATCTAACTACATCTAACGGCTAGATCACCTGACGTATACTATACACCTGGCGTACACCAGTCATCACCATAAAATAATAGTATAATATATATTATGCCAGAGAAAATAGCTTGTTTTAGAATGACAAACCAATGATGTTCATTTGTTTTACTTGATGGTCAAATCCCCTGTAGGTCAGGCCCATTCAACTCTTTTATTTTATGGTTAGCGGTTAGCCCATTAGATACCATGCATTAGTTTATTGTTAAATTTTTTATTTTTAGCAATAAAAAGGAGTTTTGTTTTTGCCTTTTCATATACATTTTATCACCACGAAGAAATTAGAAGGCTTAAAGAAAAAAATTGACACTCCTGGACCCGTTTAAATCCGCATGTGTACGGTAAGTTGGCCCGTTCCACAGAGGAAAGAGAAAAAAATTGGCACTCCCTATTCTACCCTTCCTACAAATGCTCGTGGAGCACGGAATTTGAAATGGGGGAAGGGTTTTTTCTTCCCTGCTATTATATGTTTTTAATTTAAAAAGATACTACAAATGTACTTAGTGTGATTGGTTATGATCTTTGTTTTTCTTTAAAATGGTCATGGTTTGAATCCCAGTACGTGTCTTTTTAATGAATAAAAAAAAGTAATTGTGAAGACCAAAATGTCCTTCCTACTTTCACTCTCGTTGTAGGAAATTTGAAATTGGGCTCCCGTTTTTCCCTTCGGTGTATTATATTATGTGTAGATATGTTATGCAATTTTTTCAAAACCGTCATTTTTAATTATCTCATCTGTCTCATAATAATTCCAATCTTCATTTGTGTTTAGAAACAAGATACGATGCATGACTTGATCCTTAAATTGAGAGTGGCTTTGCAATGTATAAGCCAATATCCTATTCTCTACTCGAGCACAAACTCGAGTTTTTGAAGCAACAAGAAGCGTATGCTTCAGTATACATCTTGCAGATACGTTATCATCTCTTTTATTCAACCAATTGAAATCACTTCACAACATTGTCAAATGGACTTTGGAGCCTTCATTAGCTAATTCATGAATCACATGAGCAAACCGTGATTGGAGGCTCAATTTCAAACATCCATAATAAGTTAGAGCAAACATATCAATAATTATATGAACGAATTAAGCTAACACTAAACCTGTCTTTTTATATACGTTTCAAGTCTTTGGATTGGGAAACAATGTGACAGACAAGATCGATGCTGCAATTTTTGGAACTTGTGAGGTAATTCAATCAAATTCTATTGATTGCCACCACTTGGTTGGATGCAGATGGTACTATTGAGGCCATCTTATTTTCAAAAAGCAAACAGTCATTTTGAGACATGGGTCTGAGTCTGATCAATAATTCCATTCAATCCATTATTGCTCTTCTGTAACTTAGCATGGGCGTATATATGGACGATTGCTCATGGCCCCATCCCACACGCAATTCAAAGATGTCAATCAAGTTTTTAGTATCGTGCATTTGGATTTTGACTTTGAGTAACCGATTGGGTTTCTAATTCTATAACCAATAAGCAGCTTGCTTTGGTGGTAATAAATCTCTATTGTCAGCAAAGCCTGATCAGACCTTGATTCCAATTGGTGGGATGTTTTGCTTTGCCATCATACAAATTTGTAGTTATTGTTTGATTAACAAAGTTTAGTATGCCATAGGTTGCAAAAGTCGTTGTTATCAAGAATAACCCTAGCTTGGGTTAAATAATGAAGTGGGACAGAGGAAAACAAATGTGCCATTGTATATAGGCCAATTTTAGTATGGTTGACAAATTTGTGCTATCTGATCTAGACCGTGGATGATATTGATCGATAGGAGCATAGACCAAGTCTTAGAATAAATACTACACGATTCATATCAAATTATGTCTGTGTAGGTTGGTCCATTACGATATGGACCATGCAAATCACATTGAACAAAAAATGACCAATTTGTTTAGTCAATCATATGAAAAAAATAACCCAATAACCGTGAAAAATATATTTTTCTCCTCAAAACATAAATTCCAACACACGCACAATTTTGATACCATACTATAATGTCATATGGACACACGATTGTATGATGTCTCTACTCTATGACAGAGTGTGGCTTAGGAATGAAGACGGGGATGGAATTCGTAAAATTAGGGTTGAGACTTGGGTTTTATTGAGGAGTTGGGAGAGTGGTCACACGAATTGAAAAATGGGCTAGGTCCACAATTTGGTCTAGTATACTGCGGTATGCACCAAACCAATCCAAGAAATCAATACATCCTATAATACATACCATTGATAATACCAGACAATTCTTAATGGTCTACATTCCGGACCAAACTGTAAATCACATTTCTATGATTTTTCAGTAGGTTTGGTATGTTTTTCCAACCCTATTAGCTAGGGATGGCCATGAGGTTAATATGGATATAAATTATTCAATACTCTTGTGTTCACTAGCTATGCTTTAGTCTCATTTAATATTTGACACATATTGTACGTATTCAGCTAGTAAATTATATCTATGTACTTTTGAATCGATGGCTTCGAAAAGGAAAAAAATTCAAACATTTGGGTCACCCATAAATATTTTGCCCTCCCTTCAGCTCAAGAAAAATGAAGAGAATTAAATTAAAATGCCAACTCCATATTGTTTAACCAATTTGTGGGCTAGACTAATTACTTGATGATATGTGGTACAACTACTTTCATAAGAAAACATAGTCTCTAGTATTGTTTTTTCATGTTCCCCTAACATATTAGATTGTTATAAACCAATTTCCCCCCAAGAACTTCCATTGTCACTTATTCTTAATGTACTATCTTAGTGGCTGGAATCGATCAGTAGATGAAGCCAACGCGAGGAGGGAAGCTTCTTGAATTCAGACAAGAATTAATCTGTTCTTTCTAACAATGAAAACAACTCGAATTATTTTGAAAGCAGTGAAATTTTCATTGTGATAGTGATGAGAAAGCGATCGAGGGTTACTTTACTTCATTTATTCGAAATTGTGAATTTTAATTGTAGTAACAAGAAGCGATTAAATTATCTTAATAAAAAATTGTGAGCAGACTCTCATAGACATGTTATCATTTTAACAAAATTCAAGATATTCACCCCATTAAATCCATTAATAAGAGTGGGATGCAAATATTGAAATGGTGGAGTTGAAGCATATTCGGACATTTCACATCCAAAGCAATCAGAAACAACAATTATTATAGAAGATAATTAAAGACTACAAACAAACACAGCTTAATAATAATAATCATAATAATTACAAAGCTACAATATCAGAAGCCCCCCAAAGGATACAAAGTGAAAGAAGAATGATCAAAGCTGGTGATAAAAATTACCAAGCTATGACCCTCAAACCCTAACAAAGTAAGAAGAAGAAAAAACTACTAATGGAGAAGAGAGGGAAGATAGACCCTCAAATCTTCTCAAGGCCACAAGCAGGTGAAAAAAAATTAACCCAACTTGGACCAGATCTTCATCTTCCTATGTAGTCTCAGCGCTCCTCTGCAACTGTAAAAACTCCATTGCAGATAGCTGCTGAGCTGACCTAAACCGAAAAAGAAAAGCATAAAAAAAGGGTAAACTAAAAATTACATAGCAAATAAACTCTTCAGATCGCAGCCCAATCGATCTCCACAGAAGGGAACTTCTCCAAACCGAAATTCTCCGCCATTTCCCAGCCCGAATCCGTCTCCGAGAAGTCCAGGAACGACATATCCGATTCAGGGGAAGAAGACGAAGACGAAGATCCGGTGCACTGGCTCTCCGCCTTCGAAGAAGATTCCTCCTCGCTCACCGACGATTCCTCGACTTTCATCAACGGAACCACGGGGGCATCGACGGCGGGTTTCGCCTTCTTACCCCGCTTGGAACCGGGCTCCCCTGTTTTCCCCTGTTTCAAGTCCTGGCAAATCGCCTGGAGCTTGGCTTCAACAGAGGAGTGGAGGGGCTTGTACTCACCGAATTCGCCGGCGACGTGGGCTCCCTGGTGGCGGAGGTTTGGGAAATTGAGCCGGGCGAAATCGCCTCTCAGCTTGTAAGCTGCCTTGTCGTAAGCCAGAGCAGCTTCTTCAGCGGTGTCGAAGGTGCCCAACCAGAGCCTGGTTCGGTTCTTGGGTAGCCTGATCTCGGCGACCCATTTCCCCCAGTGGCGCTGCCTCACTCCCCTGTAGAGCTTCACCGGCTTCGATGAAGCCGCCACCGCGGCGGCGGATTGCTTCATCGGGACGGGCTTCGGGGCCAGAAAGCTGCTGAACCTCTGGGTATGGAGTGATGCGGCGAGATTCGCCTGCTGGAGCTGGAACTGAGCCTGGATCTGGAGCATTTGGGACTGGGTAATCTGGTTTAGACCTAGGGAAGAAGAAGGGAAGGAAACTTGGGGGTTGTACATCGAGTACCCTTGTGAAATAAATTGGGTAGAGCTCGAATCAGATTCAGGGGAATAGTTATTAGGGTAAAAAGAAGAAGAATAAGAAGGGGAAGGAGATGGAGATGGAGAAGCACTTTTCATAAAAGGTTCAAGTGCTTTCATCAGCTCTCCACTACAAGGATCTGAAAAATCAGATGAAGAAGAAGCTATGCTTGTGCTGCTATTGTACATATCTATAGCTGCCGCCATGCCTGTTTTACAAAGCTAAAAAAACAGAGAAATGGAATCGAAAACAGGGGAAGTGAAGAAGAAGAAAAAAAGATTAAACCCAACTACAGAGGGAACCAAAAATCGACCCTCCTAGCTGAAAACAAAGCTAAAAATCGAACAAGAAGGAAAAAAAAAAAAAAACTTGATACTGGATCTCAATTCTGTTAAATCACCTGGCAATCAAAAGTTAAGAGCTTTGAGAAAACCTTTTTAACGCTTGGAGAGACAGACGGCTGACAGAAAGGGATACAGAGAAGCAGGGAATTGGGGAAGGGGGGGAAAAGGGATGAACTTGAAGGGAAATCGATTGCTTGGTTGCTGAGAAAAAAAAAATGGAAGAGGGTGGGAAAAGGGAGAAGTGTTTATCCTCACTTGGTTTTTCGGTGTTTACTCTCTGTGTTCTCCAAGCTGCTCCCGGCCCTCCTTTTATATTATCAGCCAGCCATGGGTGGCCAAAGGGTTTCCCGGTAATTAAACTCAGCCCCTCTGGTTCTCACTTCTCAGCACGACACAAAAATCAGATAAGCCCTCAGCGTTTTACTTTATGTCACTTTAGTCACCAAACTTCCTTATGTGGGAACAAATTTGCCAATCTAATATAAATGACTCCATTACTAGATCTCAAATCTCAAGATCCTGACGATTAATAGGGTGGATTAGATGTATAGTTTTGATATATATATATATATAACGCGCATCGTTGCTATGGTACGATCATCTCACTATGATAATATATATTTTGTATCACTATGGAAAAAATAGTATCACACTACTGCTAAATGTAGTTTCACAATATTCCATAGCACGCATCGAAAACCAAACCGATTTTAATGAGGATTTCTCGTAGATTTTTTTTTTTAATTTATTTATCGTCTTTGTACTATTTCAACATTTAACTTGGAATGATGTGTCGTCTTTGATGTGCAGCAAATAATATCAACAGTCAACAACTCGACCGCAATAACCTAATGATCGTAACGTGACCATCAATTTGTGACATCCAATTGAAATCGTCCAAAACTATCTAGTCAATTGAAACTGCATTAGGAGACAAGGCCATAAGGAAGTGTTTAAAGCATAATTCTTTATGGTTGAATATAGGTTTACTGGTTTAGCTTCTTAATTTATCTATTTCTATCGGTCTAATAAGTGCTTGATAGACCTAATAATTACCATATATATATTAGTGAATGAACTGAATTGACTCCAAATACAATTTGGGGGCTTATGTGACCATATAGAAACTGTTCGAGGACCAATGTAGCCTATCGGCTCCTTCACTTTTCACTCACTGAATTGACTAGAAACGCGCTTTCTCGAGAAAACATTTATTTCCCGGAAAATTTACATTTTGTTTTTATAAATCAGGGGAAAATGCAGTTTTCGTGTATAATAAATGAAATAGTTATTTCTTTTTGTAGGTTAACTGTATCTGTTACTGTTATTTTCGTCTTGTACCGGTCAACCTCTTAAATTAGACTTCGACTTACAAACAGCTGCTCTCCTCGCTACCGGCAGGTGCCAGTAACTTTCCACCGGAGGGGTACACGTGGTGGTTTACAATTAGTCCAGAGAAATGTTGACTAGTTAATGGGATGTCAGTTATCAGGTTTTTCTGGGGAATTTAAAATAGTGCTGTGGGGGGTGTTTCGTCGTTTTCGCGGTTGCGGCACGTTCTTCTTTCTGCCACGCTTACGTTGGAATTGTCAAGTCACAGCCGAAAAATAAATAACAAATTAAGTGTTGAAATTGTGTTTTTTTTTAATAATTAAGGGGTTTCGAGATCAAATAGGAAGACCGGAAAATGAAGGAAAACTGTAGGTAGGTTTATAGGTTGGAAAAGGAAATGAGGGGAAATATTAACTTTGATTTACTAGCGGTAGAAATTTTGTTTTAATGACAAATTATATTTATTCTAATTAAACGGTACTAATTGCTACTTCTTTGCTTAGGTGATGACAAATGATGTGGTCAAACCAGTAAATTCATTTTGTATTTAACATGATGTTATTTTTAATCGATAGTTCATCGAGTAAAATGCAGGCGACATAAAATAAATATAGAAGGAATAAAATGCTATATTCTATTGTATTTCGAGCACAGCCTGCAAGACATGAGAAGTGTCACCGACACTGATTTTGGATCAAATAAGTATAAAACGAGCCGCTTGAAGAGCTTAGTGAAGCTGTCAACTAACTGTGACTGTGAGCAGTGGAGACATAGTGAATTCAAAGACGACTAGCTTGAACGAGCTAGTGGATAAAGTGATAGTTCAAGGATAGATGTTTCATGCGAAAGTGAATACATGATTCAAGTTGAAGTATGTGCCACTAAGATTGTCAGAAAATAGCATTAGAGATTAGTCACTAGGTGATGAAGCTTGACAAGTAAATTCTAGACCCGTTCAACCTCGGTAGTTGCATGGACAATGGTGCGATATTCAGCCTCGACGTTGGAGCAAGCAACTATGCTTTGCTTCTAAGATCGCCAATAGACAAGAATAGTGCCAAATAAAGTAGATAGGTAGACCGATCATCAACATTCTTTATCCAGTGAGAATCTGCAAAGGCGAAAAATGTGAGAGGAATATGTTGTGGACGAATTAGGAAGCCATGATGGAGAGTCCCACGAGCATACTAGAGGAGCCTTTTGACACACTGCCAATGAAAAGATAATGGAGCATGCATGTACTGAGATAGTTTATTAACAGTAAAGGCAATGTTAGGATAGGTAGCATCAGAGGGAGAATTCCCATCATGAGGGATGACTAGTTAGTCGATGCAAGAGGCGTGGGAGTAGCATCGACCTCCAACATATGGAAACAAATGAGGATGTATGTCAAGTATTTGTGTTAGGATAGCAGATAAATAGTAGTTGTAGGGATGATCTTGATTCCCAAGAAATAATTAACAGAACCCAATTCCTTGATTGAGAAACGCCAAGAGTGAACATCTTGGAAGGCAGTGAGGACAATAGCATCATTACAAGTCAAGAGCAATATGCAAGAAGAAAGGAGTGACACCGTGTTAATGATACACAAATAAGGATGCATCGGAGTGAGTCTTCAGGAAGCCATATGCAAGAAGAAAGGAGCCAAGGGTAGTATACCACGCACGCGAAGGGGGGGGGGGGGGTCACGAAGGTCATAGATAGCACGATGAAGGCACCATATGTGACGAGGTTTGTACGGATAAGAGAACCAGGTGGTTGTGCCATGTACACTTCTTCTTGCAAAGGACCTTGTGAGCTAACATTGTTAACGTCATACTGATAAATTGGCTACCATTGGATAGGGCTAATGTGAAAATGACATGGATAATGACGAATTTGACAACTGGGTGAATATACAATGGAAATCAATGTCGGGACGTTGATGAAAACCTTGGCAACAAGACAGGCCTTGTAATGCTCAATTGAACCATCGGGGTGACGCTTGATCCGGAAGACCAATAGGTTCCCCAAAACATCGAGGCTGACGGAGAACTAAGCCCAAAGTGGCATTGTGAATGAAAGCAGCATGTTCAGTGTTGAGAGAAACAGTCCACTCCAAATTGCGAAGTACCTCACGAACTTAAGTGGCCTGAAGTTGAGGAGGGCCAGAAGTAATGTGGTTGATATAAAGCCGATTGGGCTTAAAGTTCTCATACTGAGAATAGGTGCCATCGTGTGAGTGCGGCCCCATGGAAGAGGAGGCCCAGGTCCATTGGATGAAGCGGGGCCATGGGGAGCCAATAGCACCGGTGAGGATTGTGAGTCGTAGGGTGACTAGCCGGGGGAGGACAGTATTGCACGAGAAGCAGAGATGGTATATGATCTCGACTCATGGGAGGGAGGTGGGGTAGACAATGATGCCTAAGCCTGACAAAGTGGAATGGAGTTAATAGTGAGAGTAATTGTAGGGTTAGAAGAAAAACCAAGAAAAGTGTTCTCTATAAAAATGACATGAGGAGAGAGGAAAAGACTACGAGTAGAGGGATCAAAACATCAGTATGCACTCCATTGAGGCCAGTAGCCAAGAAAGAGACATGATATAGATCGATGATCAAGTTTGGTAGTAGAGTAAGGATACACCCAGGGATAGCACAAACAACCAAAACACAAACTTCGTGATAGTGGGGAGAGAGATTAAAAAGAGTGGTGTAAGGAATTTACTGTGCATAGATTTTGATGGAAGGTCGTTAATGAGATAAACTGTAGTGGAAAAAGCATAGGACTAAAAAACAGGAGGTATTTTAGCGTTGCCCTTAGCTCAAACTGCTGTCGAGAATTGATTGAATTCATTTCCAAGACCATGAAGACAGAAGATGACAATGTCGATATCGGTGCATCAATCAGGGCACACTCGGCTGTAGGAGCTTCATCTCGTAGATATATGATAGAATATCACGATCACCTCTTCTTGTTCTGACCGGTAGATCTTTAAGATTGATGACTCGAGATTGTGATCGTTTGGATACAAGGTTATTGGTACTAGTCGTCATGGTTATCTCGCTCGCAAAATGACACTACAAGAAAAAACATTATTAACCACCGTGAAAACGGTGGGCAATAGTCCATTTACGGTGGTAAATACGTTTCCCCACGTTTCCCCACCGTAGGTTTTCCGTGGTTAACTTCGCTGTGGTTGAAAGTCAAAACGGTGGTGGATACTCATTAATAACCACGGTATTTAATACGGTGGGTAAAAACAATAGCCACCGTAATAATAACCGTGGTAAATAAATATTATCAACGACCGGGCTGAACCATGGTGAATACTGACTTTTACCCACCGAACTCATTCCCGTGGACATTAGGTTCGTAATTGTCGACGGTATTTTACGGTGGTTAAAGAGTTTACGGTGGTGGAAAGTTCCTGCAGATATGGAATCACAACGTTGTCAAATGTTTGATTACTGTTCAATACAATCACTAAATATTACAATTAATGCAATCTAAAGCTTATTTCAAAGTTATATTGACCTGTGAAAGACCAATCT